GCAGCCATGAATTAGAACAGAACGGACTACTGTGCAGTATACTCGTTTTTTAGTTGATGGACGGATATCTTGCTTTCGCCGTAGGTGACGTAAGTTGGGAAATATCAAACGAGCCTTTTGAATCTGTGCTGAGAGTCCATCAGACGCCAACCCATTAGGGCTGATCAAACTTCCAAGATAAGTGAAGTTGTCGACGTGTTCAACTATTTCACTCCATATCCTTGGTTCAGGTGTTGACACAGACCAGTGTTGAAGCAACAATTTTAATTTACATTGGAGAAACGCATTCCAAACATCCTGGCTCAGTGCTATCAAAAGTCTCTGAATTTTATCAGTCTTCACGAAACAGGACACATACATAAATGCACTTAGACAAATAAACTTGCTTCCTCACTCGCCGTCGATTTTATAGAGTAACCGAGCTTTTGTATAGGAAGAGTGCTTATTAGCATCAGCTTTCGGACGCCTCTCGTCACAATAATTGGTTTTTAAAATATTTTATAAAATATGATGTCATACGATATGACTGAATTAAAATAATCATAGCATTCGACAAATTATCTTATCATTGATGATTGACCAAATAAAACACCATTTCATAATTTTGTAGGTAAATCTTTCAAAAGACAATATAAGTTTATTTCGTCAGATCGATGTGTTTTAAGAAAAAAATAGTTTGTTGGTCTGTTTCCAGTGTTCACTTAAATAAACTATGATAGTTAAATCGACATAATTCGTTTTTGGATTTTTGTTTATTATTCAATACAAAAATATACTTAATTTGTTAGGGCTTGTATTATCGCATTGTTGATATTACGGCCTTCAATCTACGATTCTTTTCTGGCTTACATATATCCTGAACTAATCGTTTCTATACTCATATTTACTCACAAGTTGTTATTAACGTTTGATGGTGGCAAGCAGTGGGACCAGGGACGTGCATTTCATCCTGTTTCAGACTCGTCGTTTGGGCACATCCGCATTTCAGTGTTGATGTTCACCATGAAACTCGAACATAAAAATTTTCACTTCAAATACCAACACGTTATCCAAAACGCAGATAGGCCAATATAAACTGATTAGTTGTAGCCCGTAATATTAATAACAGTATATATAAACATTTGCAGATAAAGTTCATGTATAAACCAGTGGCTGACTGAACTCGTAGTATTTCGGTAGATAACAGATTGGTGGGTGCAGGTGCAGGTGTATCTAGCTGAAAAGTCCTTAACGAAATGAAACACACTTCCTGGATTTTACTGTTAGTCATTTTCTCGTTTTAATAATAATACATTTGTTGAAATATGCATATTTTCCTTATCATCCGTTGTTTTATTGTTTTCCAAAAAGAATGATATAGGTGAATTCGGTTCTAGACCTCTAGTGAGGCCGACCGATTAAATATGATGCATGCAGTTTTCTTCTTATACCATTGTAAAATGAAAAGAGTGACCGGTAGACTTTGTTGGTACGAATGTTTATTTTCACCCAACTAAAATTAATTCTTTAATCTTCTATTATGATTCAAGTTTGATGTATATAGAATATGTAGAAATCTAATAAAGAATTACTATCCTTTAGTATTTTTTGATTTTTTAAATAGCTGATGTAAATTTTGAGGAAATATCCGTTTATTTTTTCGAAACACTGATTAGATTCAATGGTAATACGATGGTAATAAATTAACTCCGATAGTTACGTCTGTGATACACTTATTCTATATACATTCGTTAAGTAACTACTTATGCCTGTTAACTTTCAGAGAGGAACATAGTCCCCTCACCAGGATTTTCCATTAGACTTTATCCTCCGCTCTCCTTTTGAACTGTTTCCAAGTGCTATTCATTCTTTTGATGTCTGCCTCCAATTTTCGACACAATATGTTTTTCGGTTTCCCTCTTCTCATTTTTATTTCGGGGCTTGCCTTGTGATGCAGTTCGATGATTTCCGCAATGTGTGCCTTATACACCTACAATGTCTTTTAATAATTACATCTGAGAACTGGTTTAATCTCCTCCATGGAAGATTGTTGTTAATGTTGTCTAGAAATTATATATGGCGTATCCTGAATTAAAAACTCATAAATACCTGTATAACTTTGATGTTGGTTGCAATGGTTCCCCAAGTTTCAGATCCGTGTCATTTGTATTGGAAATTCTGACTTTTATGTTAATTGACAGTTGTCTTGAGTTTCATGTGTTCTTAAGTTGTGGGATTGTTGCCTTCATATATGCATCAGACCCTCCTTGTTTGTCGATGAAGCTGCTAAGGTATGTGAATGTTTCCACCTCTTTCAGAGCTTCTCCATCAAGTGTGATTGGGTTGGTGCTCCCTGTGTTGTATTTGAGGGCCTTGCTTCTTCCGTTACGTATGTTGAGGCATACTAATGCAGAGGCTGCTGCTACACTAGCTGTCTTCACGTGCACTTCTTCGTGTGTATGGGATAGAAGGGTCAAGTCATCTGGGAAGTCTAAATCATCTAGTTGCATCCAACCTATCCATTTTATTCCATGCTTTCCACCAGTTGTGGAGGTCTTCATAATATAATCGATCATCAGAAGGAAGCGGAAGGGAGAGAGTGATCAGCCTGGTTTGACACCTGTTCTCACTTGGAATGCATCTGTCAGCTATCCTCCGTGCATGACTTTGCAGTGTAATCTGTCGTATAAGTCCCGGATAGTGTTGAAAATCTTGTCAGGATCTCCATAGTGTCTAAGAAGTTTCCATAGCGTTCTCTTGTGCACACTCAAACGTCTTCCTATAGTCAATGAAGTTGGAGTGTGGTGACGAGTTTTATTCAATTGATTGTTGAAAAATCATCCGTAATGTCTCAATTCGGTCTGTACCGATAGTAGTATGATGTCTCTGTAGGTCTTACATTTGTTCAGATCTTCTTTCCTTGACATCTTGATGAAATATCCTCTTTTTAATTATATCGAGACTTTCGTTCTTCCTCTTAAAGCTTCCCGAATAGAAGATAGAGCATCTTCTCAGTTACCTCTATGCCCGATCTTAATACGTAAACCTATGGGTAAGACCCTTGTACTTTTGTGTACTTTAAAGATATTGTCAAGAGACTCTTATGAGACGTTCAAAAAATAAACCAGTTGACTTGCCGTCAATAAGAAAAGAAAAACTCGTCGTCTTTACAAAATGATGGAAATAACATTGGATGATTCTTTTTCTTTTTTGAAAAAGAAAGATTAATCAATCTCAATGTATATAATTATCAAATAACTAATTTCAACGAATATTGTGATAAATAAAAGTTAATGAATTGATCTGGGTTCGAGTCCCAGATTGAACATCAACTCTGAGATGCAGGTACACCCAGCTGACGAGTCCCAAATAGGACGAAACGCGCATCCTGGATCCCACTGCTAACCTCTATCCATCTTTGCTCATAATGCTTATGAATTAAGGCTATATCGAGGCAATACGCATAGTATGCACATATGCCAATAAGAGATTGATCAATTGCAGTCTTAAACATCAGTGGGAACATTCAAACCAATAATACCAAGTGAATTTAAGCTTCACCCCATTGCACAATCAAGTGGTTATCAGGATTCAGTAGCTGAGTGGATAACGCGTTGGCGTTTGAAGCGAAAGGTACTGAGTTCCAGTCCCAACTGTCCATCTTTGTTTATAATGTTATTTCATTTGTTATTAAATATTATCAATTATTTATTCATTATTCTACAATATTGTTTAATTATTATTGAATTCGATCATTTTGATCAAAATAAAAACCGCCTACGTTACATCTGTTATGAAAACAAAATTAATCATCAAAGAAGATAGATTCCTTATATATATATATAAAGCTATATTATATGTTGATTATTTATCAGACAAAAATATAATTAGGTCAGTCTATAACATTAATCACTAGATATAATTCATCACATTATTCCAAGAAAAAATAGAAAAGAACAATATATACTACTTAGATTCTAAATATGAGAAAGTAGTATATTTGCATCATATGTAATCTTATATGATAATAAATAACATTAATGTGAATTATTGTTATGATTTATAAAGATTTACATTTCTCTAATTCTGATATTCATAATCATAATTGTTTAATATCGGTCGGATGGCTTATACACTGCTTAAGCAATTGACTCTATATTGAATATACGTAACAGTTGATTATTTTTGGGATAGTAGCTAATAATCACAATTGATTGATCACTGGGTGGTGATCAATCTCATGCATGTCAGGTCCGCCAGGGAGCATCAGTTCCTTCAGGATTACAGGCACACCTTGCTGACGAGTGCCAAGTAGCACGAAACCCGGGTCCAGGGTTTCCTGTTGACCACCTCCAACCACCATCTTACCTCAGTAGCTAATAATGGAATTCATGACTCGCGTTTCTTCGAATTTCATCCTGATATAATAAAACGTGTAAAAATCACAATTAATATCATACCTATTGAACATGTTGATTGTTATTGTCAGTCAGTCAGTCAGCTACAACGTAGGACCAGACACATACAGGCATCGATCCAAGTTGCCATACCTCGTTAGCACACCAAGATGAAAACCGGATTCATAGAAGTAGTTAATTTAGTGTGGTAATATATAAAAGGTTGTATATAAGGATATAGTATAGGAAGGAAGAAAGTTATGTGACAATTTTAATCTCAAGGTTTAAGGGAAGACAAAGATTGTCAACATTTACCCCATTATGATCGATTTTGAACCATGTCACTCAGAGTCTCCAACCATTGGTTACGATAGTCGCGTGGACCCCAATCAAGTAGTGTGCATCTACCGAGATGGTTCAGACCAGAAGTTGGTGACTTTATGGACTGATGCTACGTTTTAGTTTGGCCGCTCCTAACTTTCTTACAACCATCTCTAACACTACTCAGCATTGCGCGCCGTGGTAATCGGTGTCCAGGTATACGTAAGACGTGGCCTAACCATCTCAGTCGATGAAGATTCACAACCTGACCAACTGATTTACCATCATTCCTTGATACTCTGTGTCTAACCTCACTATTACTTACCTTTTGATACCAGTAGATTCTGACAAAAACCCATAGCTATCGGAATATTAGTCTTTAAGGTATAACAATCTGTAAATAAAAAGAGTACAATAATAGATTATTATTAGTATGAGATTTGTAAAAAATAACTACCTCTTCTTCACTTAGTCGGTTGATTAGTTAATTTAATAGCCTAGCTTTAACAAATAAAATTACACTAGTGTATGATTATGAAGATGCTAAACAATATTGTGTTAATTAAATTTCATTTTCGTTGAATAAATAGCGTTCTAAAATCTTCACCAAAGCAAGTAATTGAAGTGGCCCAAGATATATCAATTTTTTACTGAATATAATAATAACTTTGGTATTCAAATTAAATACTATAGATCAACTCTCAGGTAAAATGCTGATCAGTAAATCGCGAGATGATACTACGTTTCTTCTCTTCAGTTACTATGTCACTCTCGAAGTCTAGTCATAATAATAGATTTTGTGAATGGATAGGTTATCAAAATGAGTACGAGAGTCCATGACAAGATGGAATACCTAAAATATGCTTGTCATTTGTTGAAGCAAATGTGTTTGTTTCTTTATTCATATACTTCACATTTTCGTTAATTGCATAAAGTAGTTGTCAGTGTTCTTGTCTCCTACCTTGGTCTTCATATTTCATAAGTGAGAAATAATTTCTAAATCCTTGAAGATTGCATACTGAACCTAGAAACAGGGTGTCTTATTTTAAAAAAAAACCATAAGTAATAGTTACTTGAAACCTGTTGATTGCAGATCATCTTGCTTAGGTTTGCCAACTACCTCGAATCCAAAGTACAGGGCTTCCTCATGATGGCCTCCAACCACCTAACAGTGTGTTGGTCCTCCTATCCATGATATAATGTAAATGCAAAGTAAATAACAAAACGTTATCAGGTTTTCTGATTTCTAAAATCAACCGTTTCAGAGTCATATGATACTCTCTCAATGGCATTAACGTCACTCATCCATGCCGTTAGATGGTTAAACGATAATGATAAAAACTATGTGTGTTATTTCTATCTTTAAGGCTTAATAGTTAAAGTGGGTCGTACATAGTTGTGTTCAGTGATTATGTTGTTTTAGCCTCCTGGTTGTCGTTTCAAATGGCATCAAAACTTATTTTAAGAAATTAGCGTACCTATCTATTTTGATATAAATCGTTTGTGGATTGCATCCTCCTGAATTGTAGGTCGTTGCCAAAGCCAGGATTTGATACGTCATTAAATGTAGTCATCTGAAACAAAGTAAACCAATGTGTTTCCGACTGAACTAAAATATGGACATGGCTTGTTAGTCGACTTGATCAGTTAACAATTATAAATATAACGGTAGCAATACAATTAGGAGATGAAATAAATGCATCAATTAGTTATGCAGAAGTAATTTTTAAAAGATGTATAGTGCAGATAAACTTGAAATGAGTAAGACATCTGAATTTTAACAAAACTGCATTTCATATAATCTTATTTTTACTCAGATTAAGTTAACATAACTTATTATTCTAAGAAGAATATGAATACCGCAATTTGCTTACTGTACTAATCGACATCTGAACAATGTACATTCTTTTCCCTGTATATTGCCAACAAACACGATATCGCTGATTCGGCCTTTTGTAACTTGTACAGCGAAAGGTTGTACACTTTTCAGAAACGCACCTGAATAGGTTATGCGAACAATAGCCATAATGATGTATTAAAACAAAATTAGATAATTGAGATCATGAGTCAGTTGAAGCTAGACCACTATGAAAAACCTTGAAGCACTGGATGGCCGTTTCGTCTTTTTGTGGGACTCCCTAGAAGTGCGCATCCACGATCCCGCCTCGCGAGATTCGAACCCAGGACCTACCAGTCCCGCGCCAGAGCACTTAACCCCCTCCTGAAAATTAGATAAGTTGTTGGAATATCTAGATGACATGAACAGGTAGCCCAGATGTTCAAACAGACCGCCGAGGAATGTGATTTATAACAGCTTAAAAACTTACTTTTGTTTCAAACTACCTTACGGTTTATTTTATTTAAGCCCATATATAGTGAAAAAAAGTTTTAACTAATTCTGTAATATAAATACTTTATTGTATTCAATGAATCAGATAGATACTTTCCTGATAAATGTATGAAAACATTCTTCCACATTCCAATTATATCAGTTTTCATCCTAATCATATTTATTTAATCTATCAAGTGGTGAAATCCAACAGTAGTGAATTCATTGTCAACACTATTTCAGCATAAAATATTTACCATTTTGAAAAGGTCAGTTAATATGCACAAAAAAGAAGGCAGTTATATATTCATTATCAAATTATTATCTGTTCTAATAGTTTCACCTGTTAATGTCAATGTTAAGCATATTTTATGTTTCAATGATGAAATAACAAGAAAAGAAACATATAAGAATACTGTATGTTGATTAATATCCACAGATAGTTGATTAACAGTTGTAGAGAGAGAAAAAGAGAAGATACAATTTTGTAAAATAAATTAACATATTTGGAAAAAAAAATTGGTATATCAGATTATGATTGAAGTAGTAATTGATGAACAAAGGGGAATATTTAAATATTGGATAGACATTCTTTAATTAGTTGGTTTGTTTATATTTTCAAGATTACATCTCTGGAATTCCTTGGAACCTGATTAGAGTAATAAATGTTTTGTGTGTCAAGTCTTTCTAAGTGCTGATCGAATTCTATCGATGAAAATTGTGTATCACATGTTTATTTTATGGTATTTCATTTGGGCTCATCAGTTGTTTAATATCATCTAATTGGCAGTTGGCTAAAAATAATGAGATTATTTATTATTACAGAGAAAATATCTTGATTATGTACTTATTACTATTTGTCAGTTTTCATACTCTGACATTGTATTTTACTTGTACAATCAGATTAAAATTATTTCATCGTTTATCTGACTTTCTTTTTATAATAAACTTTGAGAAAATAAGGAGAGATCATAATTTATGGATGACCTTTGGCGATACTGAAGCGACCATGAGAATGTCCAACTACTAACTAGGACTAAATTAGGGTTATAAACCAGTGCAAGGAATTAGAATTATGTTTTACAGTCGATGGTTAGGATTAAAAATTAAGTTTAAGGTTTTTATTACAAAATGACGTCAGCTAAAATGCCTAAATGCTATTTAGTCAATTGAATGAACAAATTTCACGCTAAAATCTAAGACCTACTACCTTCTATCTGATTAATTCGTCCACAAATTATAGTCTTATCAGTAACAATTTATGCGACTCAATAATGATGTGGAAAATCTGATAGTGACAGAGTTTGGAAGTTGGTTCTTAGTACGTTAAAGAAGACTGATAAAGAACATTTAATGCACTTATTGGTGATCAGATTATAGGGTTCAACTTTTAAGAATGTTCATAAACTACATTTCTATTCAAATTGATACTTCACTTATCAGACTTATTTTTATATTGTCATGATTATTTACTTGTTACAAAAATCCAAACTTAATCAAAAGTATAATCGAGTTATTCAAATATATATAATGTTCTTAGCCTACTTTATAACCTAACATAAAGTCTGTGGGTATCATTAACAAGGTTTGACCTTATAATTTCAAATAAATTGAACATTGGGTCGATTATTATAAATAAAAATAATATATTTGTAATATCCTAATGAGTGGAAAGATTAAATTTTCTGACGTTTCGTGACTCAGTGTAAGCCATTTCTTCAGAGAACAAACAACCAAATTACATAGAATTACTGGCATGCAATTTGAAGACATTAAAAATAAGTAGTATTTTGCTATCCTCCACTTAGTAATCAAAGATCCTATCTACATTCCGACATAATTGTTTCTTCAGTGGCTTCTCAAATAGTAAAACAGTTAAACTTTCGAGTTTATTTTGTTTATGGGTTAAATGTTTTTCAATCGAAAGTCAATTTTATGAATAAACAAGATGACATTTCTTTTTATCAAAGTTAATATGTAGTAAATGTATATTAACCTTCAATATTAGATCACAAAGGTCACCTAAGTTTGACTTTTTCAAAATAATATGTTGATAATTATTATATCACTAAAGGAAACAACACATAAGTTGTTCTCCATAGTTCATTCGAATATAATTTACTATAGACAAACTAATATACATATATACATAATACCGATACATACTACCAACTCCGCCTGTAGCTCCTCTGGGGGTTACTGCCGGTCCCAAGCCCGGGTAAAGGAGGAGGGTTGGGCATGGGGTTAGCGACCCCATCCCGTAGAAAATCAACTCGCTAAAAAAACGCTAACCAGAAAAAATCATTCAAACCATTTAAACTCTACCCTGGGAGTAGAAGGAATAATTATGACGTCTCATTATGAAAGCCGAAATTCTTCGGAAGTCATGAGGCCGATGCATCTTCTTACAACCAGAGCAACAATTTTTATAGGTACATGGAATGTCCGGACAATGTGGGAGACCGGAAGAGTCTTCCAAATTGCAGCACAAATGAGAAAATACAACCTGGAGGTGCTTGGAATCAGCGAAACACATTGGACGCAGGTTGGACAACAACGACTATCTTCAGGGGAACTTCTGTTATACTCCGGTCATGAAGAAGAAAATGCCCCACATACACAAGGAGTGGCATTGGTGCTGTCCAGAAAAGCACAAAATGGACTTATAGGATGGGAATCTCATGGACCAAGGATCATCAAAGCCTCCTTCAAAACAAAGAGAGAGGGCATTACAATGAACATCATACAATGCTATGCGCCGACCAACGACTACGATGAAGACGCTAAAGACCAATTCTACGATAGGCTGCAATCGATCTTCGAGAAATGCCCAAACAAGGACCTGACCATTCTGATGAGAAATTTCAATGCTAAGGTTGGAATGAACAACACTGGATACGAAGACGTCATGGGACAACATGGACTGGGAGAAAGGAACGAAAATGGTGAGAGATTTGCAAACCTATGTGCCTTCAATAAACTGGTCATAGGTGGTACCATATTTCCACACAAAATCATACACAAAGCCACTTGGATTTCACCGGATCACACTACACAGAATCAAATCGACCATATCTGCATCAACAAAAAGTTCAGGAGGACGATGGAGGATGTGAGAACCAGAAGAGGAGCTGATATAGCATCCGATCATCATTTGCTGGTCGCCAAGATGAAACTAAAACTCAAGAAGCAGTGGACAACTGCGTGGACAACATCACAAAAGTTTAATACGGCTTTTCTTCGAGATGCTGACAAACTCAACAAATTCAACATAGCCCTCAGCAACAGGTTCCAGGCCTTTCATGATCTACTCAATGGAGAGGGAACTACCATGGAGAGCAACTGGAAAAGTATCAAGGAGGCAATCGTTTCAACATGTCAAGAGGTTCTGGGCCAAAAGAAGCACCATCACAAGGAATCGATCACTGTTGGTACACTGGATAAGATTGAAGCAAGGAGGAAGAATAAGGCAGCAATCAATATCAGCCGAATAAGAGCGGAAAAAGCCAAGGCACAAGCCGAATACACAGAGGCAAACAAGCAAGTGAAGAGGAGCATCAGAACCGACAAACGTAAATATGTGGAAGATTTAGCGATGACAGTGGAAAAGGCTGCAAGAGAGGGAAACATGAGACAACTGTATGATACAACAAAGAAACTTGCTGGAAATTACCGTAAACCAGAAAGACCAGTAAAAAGCAAGGAAGGCAAAGTAATCACCGACATTGAAAAACAACGAAACAGGTGGGTAGAACACTTCGAAGAACTCTTGAATCGACCAGCTCCACTGAACCCACCCAACATCGAAGCAGCACCCACAGACCTCCTAATCGATATTGGCCCACCAACAATTGAAGAGATCAGCATGGCCATTAGACAAGTCAAGAGTGGCAAAGCAGCGGGACCAGACAACATCCCGGCAGAGGCACTGAAAGCAAATGTAGCAGCAACTGCCAAGATACTCCATATCTTCTTCAGTAAGATTTGGGACGAAGAACAAGTTCCAACAGACTGGAAAAAAGGACTTCTGATCAAGATACCAAAGAAAGGCGATCTTAGCAAGTGCAACAACTACAGGGGCATCACTCTTCTCTTAATACCAGGAAAAGTCTTCAACCGAGTATTGTTAAACAGGATGAAGGATTCCGTTGACGCCCAACTTCGAGATCAACAAGCTGGATTTCGTAAGGATAGATCGTGCACAGATCAAATCGCAACTCTGCGGATCATTGTGGAACAATCAAT